GGGGGGGGGGGGGGGGGGATTACTTACGATAGGATAGCCGCGCTGCGCCATCGTTATTCGCGCGACCGAAGAAGATGCCGAAGAGCGATCGGGCTCGTGCAATTTTTTGCATTAATATAAGCAATAATTGCAGATGAATATGATTGATCGACGATGACAAATGGAATTTCGCGTTGTGCAGCGCGCGCGCTGCAGTAGGTAGGAGCGATCGTTCGGCTCGCTAGACCTTGGATACTCAATCATAATTTGCAGCGCGCGCTAAAAACGTCAAGTAAACACAATTATTCAAAGTTCATTAAAGCGCGCGTAATTAATGAGACAATTAAAGCGGCGCAGTGCAAACAAATTTATTTCCTAAGCTCGGCAAATTGAGCGCACGGGATTTATGTGGCCGGTGCGTCTGCGGGAGAGCGAGTGGTTCGCGGGCGGGGGGGGGGATTTTGCGCGTTTGAGCTGGCTTTTCCTGGGGGCGGCGACTACCGCGAAGGTGCACCGGCAACGCGACGGCAATCTTGCAAAATTATTCTCGTCGTTACGACCGCGACACCGAGCCTACGTACGATACGATGCGCTGCACCTTGGCGTTGCTCGTCCGACGTATAACGAATTTTTTGTTTTTTGTTTTTTGTTTTTTGTTTTTTGTTTTTTGTTTTTTGTTTTTGTTGCGCCTCCCTGTCGCGCCGTTTCGGCAACTTTCGCACCCGCGTCGTTTCACTTTCATTGTTCCTGTCCTTCTATTTTGCCTTATAATTTTAATTACTGCGCGTGCCGAAGGAAAAAAAAGAAGACAGACCGATGATATACGAAGGTCGTTAAATTCCGAGAGGTTTATAACTGTATATAACTTTATTTACAGAAAATTATTGCACTAGGCCGCCTGTATTTGCCTGTGCGCCTGTCGCATTGTCTGTCGTTCTTATTATTTCTTATCTTTCTGTCCAACGTACGTTTTTTTGTCATTTTTGTTCCTATTTTTTTTTATTTTTCGTTTGCTTCAAAATAAAATATTCATTATTCGCTAAATTTAGCAATAATAAACAAGGGCAATAAAGAAAATGAGCGTCATAATTTACCGGCGCGGACGTTAACTTTGATTGAAGGCTGTAGAATAATAATGAATATATAAATCTACTATACAACTGAATTAATTGTAATTAAGTATTAAAATTAACTGGAATGTCATAGATAATATTAATATTGGCGATGATTTTTATTATACTTTTTTATGGCGCCGTAAAGTTATGCTTATCGAATTTTATCAATCCCCGTCATCGGGGAACCTGTTGATTACCATTCGCCTGAATTATATTATTAAATATTTCATTTATTTTTGCGTGCGATAGCATTTAATTAACGTAATATTGTATCTTACCACGCAAATTAAGATCACATATTTAGAAAAGCGTTACGTATCTTAGTTCAAAGCGCTAATTAAACTGCGCGCATGCGCTCGTTACTACAATTGAGCCTCGAGTGTTAAATACAAGCGACTACGACGAAAAGAATAATTTCGTTTTATCAAGATACATGAAAGTATGAATGAAGACTCGAAAGTACTTAATTCGGCTATAAAGTTTCTACGTCCACATTATACATAATTATTTAGCTTTCTCAAATAGAAAGCAGTTTTTGTATAAATTATTTTACGCCTAATTTCGATACTCCTATGCTCATTAGGAAACAGAGACAGAGCGGGGAGTCGGTTGGCTGTGGGGTGGGTTGGATCGGGCGTCCAGGGTTGGGGAAGAGTGGCAGGGGAAGAGCGAGAGGGAGAATAAACTAAGCGAAAAATTGAGAATGAAAAAAATGAAGGAGAAGAGAGAAAAAGATTGCCTGAAGACCATAAAATTTTCATTAGCCTCCTACTGTTTTTAATTTCCATAAAAATGTCATGTTATCGATTCTCATATCTGTTGCATATAAAAATGAAACTACACCTACATACAACTGCCACACACATACAGTATCTCTCCCCTGTCCCATGACCGCCCCTCCTCGCTCCCACCATCGCCACCATCACCACCATCACCACCTCGCGTTTACGTCGCTCGCCTTAACGACTCTGAAAAACCTACGAATTTTCTTTCTCTTCTTCTCTTTAACTTTTTGAAAATTGCAGCAGGAAGGCGGCACGGGAATGGCCACGAGTATCCAGCAGTGCGCGGGCTGCGGAAATAGAATAGTGGACAGATGGCTGTTACACGCACTGGAGCGTTATTGGCACAACAGTTGTCTCAAGTGTACGTCTTGCGGTACGGCCCTCGCGGAGGTTGGGTCATCGTGCTACAGCAAGGCCAACATGATCCTCTGCAAAGCCGACTACACGAGGTACGAGCCCTATCGTATTAACTCCATTTATTTATATTTTCCCAGCTCGGGTCCTGGCCCGTCCACCCACCCCAATGGCGGCCTAAGAATGCGCGGCGCGCCGCTTCAAACGGCCGAAATTAATTATGATAAAACGGAAATTAATTTTCGTCAAAGAGGCCCGAAATGGCCCCGGGGCTCCGACTGAGATTATGCGTCCCGATAAGGTCCCGAGGGGCCCTGCTTGACTCCTCTTGTCGGTGAGCCGGGGGCGGGGAGGGGGCACGTAGACGCGCCGCGATAAAAATTCCGCGTCGTGAGGCGCGCGCGCGCGTGTCCCGACTACGTATGCGAGCCAAGAGCTTCATCGCGACACGGCCGGGATGGATTTGGGCTACTTTCCCCTCACCCACCACCTCAAATCCCCGTTGCCGCTACCATCACCCGTCCCACCGACGCTTTTTGAAAGGGCCCACTGCAATCCTCTAGCCTCCCAACCACCGCCTCCACCGTCGCCGCATACATCGTTCGCTCTCCTTGCCCATCTCTCATCCGTCGTCCATCCCCTCCTTCCTCGTGAACGCTGCTGACATTTTCAGAGGTCAACGCAGACGGACCTACAGAGAGAGAGAGAAAGAGAGAGAGAGAGAGAGAGAGTTAGAGAGAGTGAGAAATTCCGAATGGAGGCCCTGAATTATTGCGCGGCTTGCTTTAATCGCGATTGTCGATCTCTGACCGGCCAAAAGAGCCTGATTTCACCGTTTTCGTGCGTCCGCGCCTACGTCTGCTGCGTATTTTGTGCGAGCGTGTGTGAAATAGTCGTGCTCGGGATACCGAGCTTATATAGCCGCTCAGAGGCCTTGACTCGAGAGCACACCGCGTCCGATCCGAGGGTGCTCTTGAGGTACATACGCGGTGGAAGGGGAAGGGCGAGGACGACAAGGGCGGTAGTATCAATATTTGATGACGGGACTGTCCCGTCGTTAGCGCCCCGCGCTTCGTCGCTTCGACTATCTGAGGTAATTGTTACTGCCTGGCATAAAGTCACGACCAGGTGAATCAACGTCGTTAAGAGGGTGCAGTTGCATGGATAGGGTGACGATGGGACGGGAATGGGATGGGTGAATCTAAAAGGCGCTTGCGACAGTCGCGCACGTGCAAGGTTAAGCGCCGAGCGTACCAACGACGAAGAGATGCGAGGACGAGGAGTGGAGCGAGCACGAGCTATTGGGGATGGTGGGGGGGGGGGGGCGGGGGTTGGCGAATTGGGTTGGGGGGGGGGGCG